ATAAAGAGACACAGGATAGCCAAAGCAAATTAATAGAGTCCTGTAGTCCCTTTAGGTTACGGATCCCTAAAAAGTATTTTTTCAAACCGACAGTGAAGAGACTTGTATCCCGACCACGCAAGTTGCCTGAATGGCTTTCAGCCTTTGAGCGAGGTCCCTTTCAAGTCAGTCACTGCGGTGGTCAACTCTGACTATTTTCAGAACAAAAACTTGCTTACCTGACATGACTTCACAAAGGCCTACGCGGTGAACCTAAGTCCGTGGATGAGTGACGTGTCTTTAGGTAAAATATACATGTTAAGCTTTTTAAATGCATGCATAGTTCAAACATTACTAGCTTCTGACCGCTGCTTCTATCTAGCTCAACCTACACAAAGATTATTGTCAAAATTCAGGTGAATTGTTTTTGTTTATCCACAATGAGGAAGCCTTTGGCCTGCATCTCACATGATGGAAAGTTATGTCCAGACCGAAGGTGGAAGCGAGCTTCACCTCGAATCCTCAACCACAGAGAAACTGGCTATCTTACCTCCGGTCCGAGACACGACAATGCTGTTAACATGTTATGGCGTTTAGGTCCTAAACTCTACACTTTTGGGGGTTTATATGTGAAATCGTGAAAAACCAAATAAAAGTGCCTCTTGAAACTTAAACTGCTCTTCATTCGTAGTCTTCTAATGATCACAGGTAAGAAGGTAAGTAATGTTAGTTTACATCTTCAACAATATCAACGTCACAAATTGCTCCTGAAAACAAAATAAAGTTACATAATTGACTTCGCCTTCAATGACACTTGCAATAACTATTTATCTACGAATCGTTCCACAGTGGGGATTACACCGGTCCGGTGAATACTGATGCAAGTTACGCGTTTTAATATAAAAATAAAGTTTAACGAGGTGCAGTCTGCAGCAGACTGGAATGTTGAGCCCGATATATTGCGAGGGAAACCCCATTTATTTCCGATACTTTTTGCGGGCTATCCACTCGAATTATTTTTTAAACTTTTCGGCCGGGAAACGTGTGACGGCCGATTCTTTGTCATTGGAAATGATTTGTAATGAATGCATCTGGATTGTGTTTTGTATGTGTCTGGTTTTGTAGGATACCTCGATTATGGGGCTAAAATCGTTAAACAAAAGATTATGTCAGTGATAGCATATTACGAAATGGTAACCTCACCTTAGATTTTTATTTAATAATACAAATCTTACGAATTATTTTGTTAAAAAACTCTTTGAAATCCTCAGGCTTTGATAGGCTTACGTTTTAAATAAAACGATTTAATAATTTCAAGTAACTTTGTAGGTACAGCTATACTCAATAGTCAGGTATGAACCTAAACACCTACTGAAAAACTCTGTTATAAGAACAAGAAGTTCCATCCATTACATTATACCATTTTTATTCGCGCATGTCGCGTATTGTGACGTATTTTTACTTTCAATACTGGTCAAATTACCTGGTAGCTGTACGTATAGACTATCCATTTCACTTAGTTCCGGTAATTTATTTTACCTATTAGATTACCCAACTAGACATCATAGAGATAGTAGGTGGGTACCAGCTGATTTGTTTGTGTGTTACTTGGAAGTCGAGATTATCTACTCGGTAAAATATTCCGCGCTTTATGAGCAGATAATAACATTATTAAGGCGAATAGACCATTACAATCGTGATGAAGTCCTTATATCTCCTGTTGTTTTAATTAAGGATCAATTTTTGAACAAAAGTTGCTGTTAGGTCGAAACTCGACTGAGTTGCATCTCTTTAACTTTAACCGTAACTATGACTATAATTTGTGTTTTTGTATCGAGTTTGACAGACATGAAGTTTGTTATAGTTAAAGCAAGATGGTGTAGTGTAACCCAGGGACTACAAACCAGTTTTGAGTAAAAACGAAAATTCAAACCGGTTCAAAATCAGCTTATTTCAACCCAAAAATTCGGTCTCAATCCTTAAAATAACATAATTATCTCTCTCGATTTTAATATCAGTCTACCAGCAAATAATTATCAGTTATTACGACATCATTATGAAAAGTGAATTAGTATTATTGCCCAAAAATTTTGACTGAAGGTTTACTGAACATGACTTACAAGTTACTTAACAAAAGAAAACAAAATTCCTGCTGCAATGATCATAAAGATGTCTTGTCAGTGAATAAATTCTTCTTTTTCTACTAGCGTGTGACACGCACGTTTGTTTGTCGAGCTGTCTAATCTTAAATGAAGACAAAACGATAAATCAATTATTAAGAAAAATATTTTGCCGAACGAAATCGTATCTATCCAATAATTCACATCTAAATAAATCTTTGTAATCGTAACGTTTGATCAGTTATTTGAGATGCAACGAGCCATCAAGATAGTTTAAGAACTGAGCAGTTAATTGTTTTTCTACATTTGTAGTAATAAAACACAAACCCGAATAAAATAATACGTTCTATTAATCAGCAGATCTATCTATTTTACGATTTCGTTTCTTACTTGTGAAATATTACTGTCTGAACAGCTGTCTCTTACGCTTTAGTCTTTTAACTAAAAATTATTTGCTGCCAGTATCTTCAGTTCGTTTAAAATATCGTATTCCCCTTAAGAATGTAATACGTCATTAAAAAGGTTATTTACGTTATAAAAACCACTTTAATACCCACTTGGAAAGATTTCAAGGCATTATGAATTAGTGTTTCAGTAAATAGAGATAAGCGACTCTTTGTGCTTAATTCCTCGCCTTGTGGATACATGTCATTTTATCTTTGAAATATGATGGATAATGATTGCTGTGTTTCCTACCAGTTACTTGTGGTTAAATGTTTGAAAAATACAATAATATTCATGTCGCAATATGATGAAATAAAAACGGAAAGTCCGAGTTATACTTGCGTGTAGAGTTCCGTACACTTTATCTTATGAAATTATTTCTAGAGTTGTAAAATGAAAAAATAATTGCTCATTTTTTTTATGCATAACAAGGCAGGTATTTGACCACAATCGCACCTGATCATTCCAAGTATTACCTACTTACTCGTATAAACAATAAAATAACTGAAATTGTAGATAGGTCAGTCTTTTTTGATACTTTCCATGCTATTTTTTTTATAATTCGAATTGGCTCTCCACAGTGGGCTAAACCGGACGGACCCCTAAAAGCCCAATGCCATCTTGTCCATTCATCAAGTGAGCATTTGACTCTATCTGGTTTTCAAAAGGTGCTTACAGAGCCCTAAAAATAGGGAATAAATTAGAGTTACAAATCATTGGCACTCACTGGCCTGTAATTAACTTGTCATATTAGAATGTTAAATGTAATTTTTAAATAAAATAAATATTACCTGTCTATTGAAGTAAAACACATTACTTTTACCCCTTTATTCCATAAAAGAAAAGCTATCAATAGTTACGTTAATTTATATTGCAACACTTGGTTTTTGTTTTTATAACAATGTAGAGTTTAAAAAGTAATACCTAACAATGTTGATAAAGAAAGAAGAAAGAAAGAACATGGACCTATAAAAAAAGTTGGACGGATTCTCATCAACAAAATACTGTGACATTAGGATACACCAGCTTGCCTGTACGTACAGGCCGGCACGCACACATTCACACCCTGATACACCACTTCGAGTGCAAACTTCACACAGTTGACACATTTAAGCAGCGAAAAAACAACACGAATACGACATGTCTTGTGTGATGAAATTGTGTAAAAACCGTTCTGTTCGAACAAACAAAAATTAAGGAATCACATTTCACAGGCAAAATAATAATACAATCACTTATTTCCCGACATTAAAATATTGAAATTAATTGAAATCAAACGTCATTCACTCGAAAAAATAATACGTCAAAGACCAGTGTTCTCAGTTATTTACGTGGGAAAATTACCCGAAATATGGGAAATTAATAATAATTTTAGGACTTTTTAGTTATTTATTACGCATACTATGGAAATAAAATAATTTATCATAATAATTGTGTTTTAATGGGATATATTTTCATAGGCAAATTTGATCCTTCCCAAAAATGTGGAACTGCGAAATTCAATGTATGTTTTTAAAAAAAATCTATCAGAGGTAATAATAATATATTGATGATGCATAAGATTATGATTATAATGTACACAAGATTCGTAATTTGTAACTGCGTGAATCATTTTTGATCAACATTATGTACATACCCTGACACACTGACTTGCAATCAAAGTAAGAAAATTTGAACATTGAAAATTTCGCGCCTACCTCAACGCATTCACCTTTCATCCTTTTAAAATGGCCCGGAATAATTCTGTCTACTTTTTTAAGTACCATCTGCCGATCTATGTTTTTCTTAAAATAAATGGGTAAAATGTTTTGGCTAACATGGCATCCCTAAATTCACTCACACAATAGACAAACGCCAAAATTTTGCGTCACAGTTTTGTTGTAGCGCGAGTTCCGTCCGCCTTTTTTTATAGGTCCATGAGAAAGAAAGAAAGAAAATAACTTTATTTTGGCAACAACAAATTCAGGCAACATAGACATGCACAAAAAAAATAATAACTAAGTTGCCAAAAAAGGTCACCCACTCAGTAATATCTTGACAGTGTGACTGCCAAGACACTGATTTTCAGTGGGTGCCTTTTGCAGCGCTATACAAAACAAAGAAAGAAATTAGAAGAAAAAATAATAATAATAAAACCATAAATTAATCATTCAAAAAATTAAATAATAACAAAATACATCATTCCAAATTAAAACATAACAATATTATTAATAATCATTACATACACATGTCAAAAACAAAAACCAATGCTACAGACAGAGAAAAAAAAAACAATTAAAAAAAAAATGTCACTTGTCAAGTTGACATTTGCCACGTCCACCAGCCACGTAATAAATTAGCTATTGGTTTTTGCAATAATAAAAAAAATAACATCATAAAATTGTGATTAAATTGAATAGAAATTATAAAATTTGTTTCCCTAATATAAATAAATAAATAAATAAATAAATAAATAAATAAAAACAAAATATAAAATTGTGATTAAAATAAATAGAAATGTCATAACCAGGTGCCGAGAATTGATGAGAACATGGTAGGTGAGTGGATTTTTCTAACCTCGACGAGTAATCCCGCGTCCAATTAAACAGTTTACTCAATAACGTTTTTTTTTTTTAGGGTGTTCAGTAGGGGAGAACTAAATACATTTAATTGGGATCTCATTCAACCACCCAACGAGAGCATCAGAACGACTGAGGGCATAAAGTAGAAGGGAACTAAGAAGAGCAGCGTTCTCAAAGCCGGAACGACGCCAAAGCCCAACGAACGACGTGCGTGCTCCGATGGTATGCAAATCAGAAGATTTCATTTTGTAAACCTAATAAATGCTTCTTTAACTGTAATTTAAAAGTGTGTCTCACTTTCAGTGCACGCAGTGGTGGGGGCAAATCGTTCCAGCATCGAGACGCTGCAAATCTAAACGATCCTCGAAATGCTGCTGTACGATGTCTCGGAGTGAGGAAGACGTGAGTAATCACCCTTCTCTTATGCTCACTGCGACAAGGTGCACGGACTAGCTTGTCTAAGAGATATTGCGGCCGTCCTGTATTAATGACGCCGAACAACATTGTCGCCAAGTGCAACTTTCTACGGGCCTCCATCTTCATCTGATTGGCTGCATTGAGGAATGGCGTAACATGAGACCGTGGCGGGATATGGAAGCAGAAGCGAGCACATGCATTTTGTACCCTCTGCAACAACTTCGCTGAACTTGCTAACAGACAGGGCCCATAAACTGTGTCACAATAGTTTAGCTTAGACAATACAAGAGCCTCACAAAGAGTTATCCTAAGCTTTTCACTCAAATAAGGTCTTATTCTGTACAGGAGCTTCAACCTATAAAAACAATTTCTTGCACATTCAGTCACATGTTTTTCAAACCTGAGATGGCTGTCAAACACCAGTCCCAAGTTCCTGGCTTCNAGATTTAAATTTGTCTTTCTGGGATGCAGTGACTGGTCTATATTCTATTTCCTTGCTCGATGGCACAAAATGGTGTTGAAATGACACTATTTGACCGCAATGATCAGAATTAACAAAATTTATTATTGATTTCTCTAGCACTAAGCAGTTACAGAATATATTGTCTAAGCAAGTAGCTGATGTTGGAGTCACCCTAGTTGGTTCAGAGAAAAGATTTAACAAGTTAAAAGATTTGAATAAATTTAAAAACCGTATTGAAAGAGAGGAATCTTCTATTATATTAATATTAAAGTCTCCACATACAACTACTTTCTTTGAACTATTACACACTCTTCTAAGTACCTCTTCCATTGTGGTTTCAAATAATTCATAGTTACTAGATGGGGGTCTATATACACATACAATAACATAGTCGTCCAGTTCTGCACATGACAGCTCAATAGTTCGCTCGACAGAGAGAGATACAATATCTTTACGCTCTTTACATTTTAATTTATCATTGATTAATATTAGTGACCCTCCACGAATAGCTAACTCTATATAATGTAGAACATGGTTTAAATATACCATTTGTTGGCCCCACTCCTGAACTGTTGGACATAATAATGGATAAATAACTTAATGTATGTAAAATGTAAGTAGATAAGTATATTAATTAATAATATTTTTTGTTTGCGCAATAAAGCACCTATTACTATTACACATTATGTCAATTTCCAAGCAAACCCGGGAGTTTTTGGTAGTTATTTATATGAAAATATATTTCTCATATTAAGTCCTAACAAATAATAGTAGTTACATTTCTGTTGGTTTTACGCCCAGATTCCATAGAAAAGTGCCCATCATCCTTTAATAAACGATGACATAATATCATATAATAACACATTAGCTGATTTACAATTATTATTAAAGCAAACTAATCAACTTATTTAAAACATTTTTGAAGTAGATATGTAGAGCTTTTATTAAATTTTAGCATCAGGGTTTTATTTAATTTTCCTTGTGCTCACTACATTATTAAAAAAAAGTAATTTATGTTTTTCTTAGGCTCGTTTATTTTTGTTTACTTAAACAGATATACTAATATGTATATTGTACCTTAGAATTATTATTTTTTAAGATTAATTGATCATGGTTTGTCGTTATTATATTGTGTCTCTATATTTTCAATTTTCTACTATCTTAAAGTCATCAAATGAATATATTTTTTTATTACCAATTTTTTTTATTAGATACCTATTTATAAGGTATTAATATTAATTAAGGTAACCAATTTTCATATTAAAAACTAAATATCCCCTATTTACTAAAAAAATAATTCAACCAATTTATAAAACTGAAACTTTTTTATAAAAAAGTTATAAACTCTAGTTGAAGCTCCATTGTAACTTTGTATTCCTTTTTTGTAACTTATCAATAAACTTAAAAATTGCACCAATAAAGCTAATTTAATAAGTATAATACGTACCTATACTAAATAATAAGCAGTCTACGTTAATTATACTAATTAACTGTTAACCCCTTCATAATGTACTAAAACTTCGTGCTTAGTTTACTTACCCTAGTAACCTACTTCTATTTCCGCAACTTGCAAAGTTTGTGCAAAGTGAGAAAAGTTATTGTAGGACCTTTAAACTTTAAATATTGTTTATTCATACAAAGTTTATTAATAAGAAAGTAATAGTATCTTAATAATGAAACTTTCTGATTAGTTTTGTATGTTCAATTCAGCTGCGTAGTACAAACTGTAGTAATAAACTCAGTCGTACGTAGCGTAGTAAGCGTGGCGCGTCTAAATGCGGGCCGCGGCGTTCTAGGCTCATATTGATTGCCGGTGACATTCTTATCAATACACCCCCGGCCGCGCGGCCGCTCCACACAACACCCAAAAGAAACAGGAACGTTTCTTCGCGCGCTTGGATCGGAACGCAACGAAAAAAGGGCGGAGACTCCGCGACGGCGTCGGCGCCCAATCAAATTAAACTCGGAACGGCGGCGGACCAATGGCACGCGGGCGCCGGGGCGGGCGCGCGCACGCGGCCGCGCCCTCGTTTTCCTCCGGCTTTTTATTTATTGTTGCGCGGAACGGCGCGCGCGACGGGCGTGTGATGTGCGCGTAGTCAGTACCTTTCGAGTATGGAGTCCGCCGTGGACTCAGCGTCGACCGCGAGCGAGGTGAGCGGCTCCTCCGGGGGCTCGCCGAGGGTGAAGGCGGCGTCGCCGGCGCGGGGCCTGAGCCCGCCGCAGCTGCTGGCGCCTCGCCTGCCGCTGCCGCCGCCGGGCCTGGGCCTGCTGGGCTCGCTGCAGATGATGCACCACTCGCCCCTCGAGCTGATGGCGGCGGCCCACCACCACGGGCCGCCGCGGTACGGCAGCCCGCCGCCGATCTCCACCTCCGACCCGTCGGCCAACGAGTGCAAGCTGGTAGACTATCGTGGGCAGAAAGTTGCCGCGTTTATCATTCAGGGTGACACGATGCTATGCCTGCCGCAGGCTTTCGAACTGTTCTTGAAGCACCTCGTCGGAGGGCTGCACACGGTGTACACGAAGCTAAAGAGACTGGACATAGTGCCGCTGGTGTGCAATGTGGAACAGGTGCGCATCCTCCGCGGGCTGGGCGCCATCCAGCCGGGCGTCAACCGCTGCAAGCTGCTCTCCTGCAAGGACTTCGACGTGCTCTACAGGGACTGCACTACAGCAAGGTACGTGTTGCCAACAAAAACAAACCTCCATACGTGTGAATGTGTTCCGTTTGATCAGTTCCGTTACCTTCGACTCTACCCGCTTGTTCCGTCGCAGATCCGGCCGCGAGTTACTGTTGTGACGTTCAAAACTGTTTTCTTTTTTGGATTTTTGTTTGCAGTGTTAGTTTTTGTGTTTTTTTGTCTCAAGTTACATATTATTTACTTATTAATCCGTTTGGTACATAATGTTTTCGCGTGACTCTACATTTTTCCGGAATGTTTTAGTGAATAATACAATATTTACGCAACACAATCTAATTAAGCGTAATCGAGTTGCTTTTACTACACCGCAAGACAAGGAAGGAGACCAGCAGGTCATCAAGTGAGAGCGCGAGTTTACAGCTCTGCAGGGAGAGCCGAGCGCATCATTAATTTTTAACATTTTAATACGCGCCAAATATTTCCACCGGGTTAAATATTCAAGTGGGCTTCGGCGACGGAAGGGTTAAATCTCTGTTAATTAGCGGCCAACTCGTAAATTTTTAAATAGTAATTTTTACAAACGCTAAAGTTAGATTAAAAAATCTTGTTTTGTTGTGGGAGCGCCATGCGCTGTAGGCCTATATCGCGGTGCTCGAATGCGATTTTAAAAATGTAATGTCCGCGGAAGTGTGCGCTGGGGACGCGTAAACTTTAATTTTTTTCACATTTTGACGCTTTGTGTTTGTTAATTTAATGCCTGTTTATTGGCGAGCGGAAACGGTGGCCCGGACCCCGCTCGTTGAGCTTGCCTGACTCAGATTTTTGTTTGTCTTCATGAAATCATTGCTCATTATCGCGAAGGCATTAATATTACACATGATTCATGATGTCATCCATTTTTTATATCTCTCGCCTCCTCTGCCGAAATAGTTAAAAAGTTTGTTCTGCATCGACCTGTAATTAAAACGAAGAACGTTTTTAAATATTGACTCATATCAAGATTTGTGGTTAGTAAATTCCTGAAACAATCGTATTAAAAATGGAAGTAACGGTATAAAATAATTAAAATTTAGTTTTTACGTCTAATAACATTTTACAGATTGTATAAAACAATTTATTTGTGCAATTAACTGAAAATGTTTACTTCACACTTGCTGTATTTCAAACGGTATGTTTATTAAAAAAATATTTTTAAAATGTAGAGCTGTCCTAGCTAGATATCGTAGCTACGTGGACGAATTGTTTTTTTTTGTGCCTTCCCGATTAATTTGGTTTGTTTGTTATTATATGAACTGAAATTAATAGCTAGTAGTACCTAATTAAAAATATTTTTCAGTAACATTTTTAATAAACATTTCAATGAATAACCTACTATCGTTGCAATGTTAAAATTGGAAAGTTTTTCATTAAAAACATCTCATGTTTAAAAATCTTGCCGTTGCAAAAAGTATTCCTTTGTTCAAGTTGTTAAAAAATATAACTTCTAAAACACATTTTATCAATTCAACGGAAAAAAAGAAACATTCGAAGCCGGCGGTCTTTCAATCAAGTTAATATGTATTGGCATTTTTCCGCCATTGCGATTCCGCTAATGCCATCAACACAGTTCCTTTTGTTGTTTTTTTTTCGACCAAAGTAGGTAGATATTTGTATTTGTTATTTGTCCGGTTTAAAAAAATATTTCTTGGTACATTTACATTTCTGTTTCGTTTGGAGTAATTTGAGTTAGAGCTGTACAAAATAGAAAAAAGAGTTATTGCACACGATAATTAAAATGCATTATTAATTAAATTAAATTAATATTTCATTAATAGGCACTCAGTGCCAACGGGCTTTACATTGCTATATACCTATTACCGCGTTTGTTAAAAATACAGAATTATATTTCGTTAATAAATGTTTTAAATTGTGATTGGTTGAAGGAATATTTGTAACAGAAATAAGTATAGGTACTATTTCTGTATGTGCGTTTACAATTAGGGCAGCCGAAAATAATGTTTTAAAGCGCACATTTGCATGATCCGATCTGAGATAAATGGTTTTATTTTGAATATTAATCTGTTTCCTAAATGTCAATTAAAACCGCCGATATCGCTCACCTAGCAGTATAATGACACATCTACATTTTTCTTATTTTACAGAAATGAGGGTCAAAGATTTTACAAATGTTTGAAACGAAGTTATGAGTTTATTTTACATTTTATCATGGATTTTNCTACTTATAATCCGGGCCTCTTCAAGGCGAGAGTGAATAAGCACTTACAGGGCAGATATGTACCATCCTAGACTGCATCCCACTTAACATCAGGTGCGATTGTGGTCAAATA